TTTCAATGCACTGATCAATCTGAGCCATATATTTATCCTTCCAATGTTGAAGGAGTAGTATCTAGACAAAAAATAAAGCATGGGGAATCTATTTCTATTGTTCAGATATCAGATCCCATGTAACAGGTATGTATTTCCAACAACAGGGGGGTTTAGTCTTTCTTCTTTAATAGAAATGCGATTGTATCCAATAAAAATACTCTATGGTACATTAAAACTTTTAATACCATTGTTAAGATTGTTTTCCATTGTTTAGAAAAAATAGGGTTCTCAAATTTTTTGTTCCATCCACTCTATAAATTTGCATATCAAATTGATCTACTGATATAATATTATTTCTAAAAACCTAGATGTCTTTGAAGCTGTAAATGCTGCTGGTACAAAGTGAAATGCTATATAAAGAGTCTATTAATAACCATCTCAATTTAAAAATGAACAAACAGAACAGAAAAAACTAATATGAATTGCATTCTTGTTTTGATTTAATATCACGTTGGCCCTAGGGTTACCCTTACTTTTTGCTAAGAGTTTGGTGAGAACATGATAAAACTACAATTTTAGGTAGTAATTCTTTGAGAAAAAGATAAAGATATGTAGTGAGCTAGTTAGAGATTTTCCTTTGCTTATTATTTTCAGTCAATACCCTCTGTCTCCCCTCCACCCAGCTATATGCGGAAATTTTTGTTGGTGGACACAGAGGCACAGTTGAAAATATAGGCTATTTTTCTGTGTAGCACATTTGTTTCTCATTCGTTTTTTTTTTAAGTTGAACAATAGAGGAAGGAACTTTATATGTGTCACTGAAGGTGCTGACAGCCACTTTGTCACTCCTCTGGGTCTTTTAGTCTGGAACTAGGAACTAGATTATGAAAAGTGCAACTGGGTGTTCATTTCCATGTTCTTGCATAATTTTTATTGGTCATAGAATTCAGCTGTTCTTGGCAGAGGAATTAGATACTTGGAGCACTAACTATTTGACAACATAAGAACAGTTGTGGTTTCTTGGGCCTAAAAGAGACATTACATTAATCTCAATGTAATGAAATCTATCATATTTTTTAGCAACCCAAAACAGTGATCTGACTTTTGTAGAAGCATTTGTAATCTATATTTCTTGTTTTTTTGGGGGGGGGATACTATTAATCCCCACAGGGTACTTCTTTCAAATGACAAGCAAAGCTAAGATATTACAGTAAGTTCTAATTGCCATGTATCCAGCAAGGGCAAGTAGAGTTAACCATTGCTGTTGTAACTTAGGGGGGGGGGGGGGGGGGGAGAATCTTGTTTCAGTTAACAACCAGCATAAAATGATAAAAAGCTACACAGATGTAAAAAATGACAGACATTTTAGAAGCAATAAACTTTAATACTAGTAAAATAATCATGTGTCAGCCCTTCAAGGTAGACTAGATTAGGATACCAAAGACATGCAGGCTAATGCTACATTATTATAAGGTTATAGTAAGGTATAAGGTATAGTAATGCAGTCTTTCAAATCTGAATGAATGTTCCCCCTCCCTCCCTTTATCTTCATGAGAATTAGGGAAGGTCCTCTGAGATACTTCCTTAGGTTAGAGGTTTCTTTTATCTGACCGTTGCCTTGGTATGGGCCCTTCCTGCTGTTCAAGGTCATTCCCACTTCTCGTTATATAATATGAGAATTTATAGCTCTTAAGTCCTGTGAATAGAGTGATACTACTATTATTAATCTAAATTATAAAAGAGTTTGCAAAATATAATATAAAAAAACAAATATAATACCATTAATAAAGATTTAAAACAGCTACCCATTCCACTGGACTCTGGGTAGCTTACAAAGTATAATTACTGTATATACTTACAGCTTATCCATGGATACGCTGACCCTTGAATTTTTAACCAAAACACCATGAAAAATGTGACACCAGTGGATAAGCCTACATTCAAACTTTTTGTATGTTTTAATTTTCACAATTGGTTTATCTGTGGGTTATTCATGGATTATCGATTTTTCATGGTATTTTGGTTAAAAATCAGAATGTCAGCTTATGCATGGATGGGCTTATAAATGAGAATATACAGGATATATGGGATATATGGCTTCTATAAAAGAGAGCTAGTTTGGTCTAGTGGTTAAGGGTCCAGGCTAGAAAGCAGGAGACTGGGAGTTCTAGTCCATCCTTAGGCATGAAAGCCAGTTAGGTGACTTTGGGCCAGTCACTCTCTCTCAGCCCACAATGTCAGGTTCAGGTGACCAGCCAGTCAGTCAATTAGTGTCGCAACCAATGGATCAACATTCGGTTGATCTAAAAAAAGAAAAGAAAAAAAACCCCTGGACCCTGCATCTGTAGGAAAAACACTAGGAAAGGGGGGGAAAGGTACTTTAAAAAACCTGAGGGAAAAACTGATTGTATATATTTGCAGATAAGCCCATCTGTGGATAAACCAAACCCAATTTTTTGTGTTTGTTTTGGCACCTAAAATTCTCAGCTTATTTGCGTCTATATAAGGTAATGATTAAAACAATTAAAAACATGGACAAAATGAAACAAGAAAGCCCAAACTAAAACATTGATTAAAACCAAGAATGTCAGCCTCCTCCCAGCACATTAACTCCAGAACTGGAACCAAACCCAGGTTTTAAGGGCTTTTTAAAAGAGGGCACCATCTGTATCTCTGGGGGGATACTATTCCAGAGGATGGGGCCCTGACAGAGAAGGTGACAACATTTAACTGAAGGGACTGGAGCACACCAACTCTGCCCAAACATATCACATGGGCAGAAACCTGGGGAGAAAGGCAGTAACTGGGTCCTATACCATGAAGGGCTTTAAAGGAAACAACCACCTTTAATTGTACCTGGAAGCAAACTGGAAGCCAATGCAGCTCGCGCAGCTGCATTGTCATGTGTCAATACTAATTTCAGACAAAAAAATCTAGTCTTTCATATAGGACAGTCAAAATACTTTTTTTTTTTTTTTTTTTACATCAGGCCATGAGACCGGCAGGCATTTCTGAATACAGACTGCAGACCAAGCCTCACTTTTGAAGGAGAAGAATACACAGTGCTTAGTGTTTGTGGCTCAGTGTTGACTAAACCTAGCCACAAGGGCAGTAAGGAGCAACAGCAAGAGGAGGCATGCAGATAATCTTGCTGAGGAATAAGAACCTGGGTCTGATCGTCACCTTCACATATCTAGTGGTAGCATTTGATTCTATACCCTGAGAGAAACTCTGGAGAAAATCAGCAGCCTCAGCAAATAATCACTGTCTCCTTAAACTGATCATACATTTGCACCAAGGCACTATCATACAGATCAAGTTTAATAGTAATGAGGGCCTAACAGGGTCTATTTCCACCTGTAAAGGAGTCAAAGATGCATACCTTCTCCCTTGGTCTTCAACCTTTATATTAATGGCATTATTGAGATTTTGGGCAACACAGATTTTCACCCTCCCTTTGTTGCCAATTGCCTGACAGCTGTTCCTTTATATGCAGATGACACAGCTCTTTTCTTCATATCGGAAATCAGGCTGTATAGGTGCCCTAGAACATTATCAGCCTTCTGCAATAGGGAATGGTTTGAAATCACTCAAAAACAAAAGTTTTGGTATTTTCAGGAAAACACTGTAAAATAATGAGTATGTATGCATGTATGTATATGTGTGTGTCTCTGTGTGTGTGTCTCTGTGTGTATACATATAGATACATACATAGACATATAGTATGTGTTTTCCCCACTCTTGTCCTACTCCTACTTGGTTTTAATATCCAGGTTTGTTAACATGGGTTTCAGAAAAGTAATATGATTTAAAGATGTAAACATGATTTTTAATCATATACAGAAATGTAGAATGCATTAATATTCAGTATGAAGAATTATGCATTTACATAATGCATAATGCATAATTGGGGCATAGAAAAAAATGATTATTCTTTTACAATAGAAAAACAGCACAACGCTGGATTTAAAGTTTTGGATTGATTATATGTACTCATTCCCTGCTTACGAGCTAGCTCTTTATTAGAGTAATGGGGGAAAAAAACCCCAATATTTTCTGATATGGTTAAGTTTTAACTTTTTGATTGAAAGGTAAAGGTTTTTAAAAATATACAGTACTGTGCAAAAGTTTTAGGCAGGCATGAAAAAATGCTGTAAAGTAAGAATGCTTTCAAAAATATATATTGTAATTGTTTATGTTT